TCATACTGCACATGTCTAAGGTACTCATCGCTGAAGGACTCGGCTACAACTTACTGAGCGTTAGCCAGTTGATGGCGAAAGGAATTCATCTGGAAGCCGACAGCACGACCCAGGAGTTCAAGCTTTACCACGGGAGAGGCGGTCTCTACATCGGAAAAGCAGTGCTGAAGAACAACGTCTTCGTCCTCGACTTCGTTCCTGACCTCGGCACTGCAGACAGCGACGCCATCGTGAATTTCACTGATTGGACACACCCTCCGGATCTCGACCCCGACTTCAGCCCGGGAGGCTTCTGGTACTCGCACACCATTCCTGAAGCAGAACGAACACGAGCATTAGCAACAATTCGACAATCGGCAGCAGTAACAACATCGACATCAGCAGCAACAACATCGGCAGCAGTAACAACATCGACATCAGCAGCAACAACATCGGCAGCAGTAACAACATCGGCAGCAGCAACAACATCAGCAGCAGCAGAAACAACGACACCAGTCACAGTCAACGAAGCACCACCAACACCCGCACAACAGCTGAATCCGACTCAACGTGAAGTCCACCGAAGCGCCAACCTCGTCGCCAGCTTTTACTCCAACTCCGACGCATATCAGCGTTCACCTGGACACCGCGCCTCTGAAGAGATCTGGCACGCACGAACAGGACATCCAAGCAACACGGTTTTGAATAACACGATAAGAGCAGGAGTCCTTGACAAAGATTCTCTACTTCTACCCGATGGCAGAGAACTCCAGAAGGCACGAGGGACTTGCCTTATATGTCCCGAAGCTGACTTACCTCATCGACCGTTTGCTTCACATCACAACCCGAGCGCTCCAGCGTACGCACCACTCGAAAAAGTCTACAGCGACATCCTCTACAATCGCGAACCAGGACAAGTCAACTACAACTACACCATCACCTTCATCGACGCCGCCACTCGATACGTCTGGCATCGCAACCTACCCAGCCGCGACATGGCACTCGCAGCATTCGCCGCCTGGCTACCGATAGCAGAGAGAGAGTCTGGAACACAACTAAAAATTTTCCAGTCAGACGGAGGTGGCGAGTACACCTCTCACCGCTTCAAGCAGTTCTTGGCGGAAAGGGGGATCAAGCAACTCCTCTCCCTTCCCTACGCATATCAGCAGCAAGGTGTTGCAGAACGACTGAACAGGACCCTGCAGAACAGCATGCGCAAACTGTTACGTGGCATGCGGCTACCCAACCACCAGTGGCCAGCAGCAATGGACCACGCTGTCATGCTGCACAACTTGTTGTCGTCGTCGTCACTCCCGAACAACGCATCACCGCATCTGCTGTGGACAGGGAAGCAGGGCAGCACGAAAATGTTACGAGTTTTCGGGTGCATGGTACAGTACAGACCCCCAGAAGCACGAGCGGGAAGATTTTCGCAACGGGCACAGTGGGGACTACACCTCGGCATCGAGAAAAATTACAACGCATGGAGAATCTTCGACGTCCACACAAAGGAAACAGTAGCAGCACGTGACGTGATCTTCTACGAAAGACTCACCCTTCAGACGTACCTCGCCAACTTGCACGAGAATCGGGACCTCACCAGTGGTTTTCGTGGTGACCGAGCCTTCGCATCAGCAGCGGATGAAGCAGACTGGGACGAGCAGAATGTTGACAACGCATCGGCAGAAGCCGGACCTCTCCCGTACTGCTCCGTCAACGTGCCCATGGACGAAGAAAATCCTCGCGACAGTAACAACGCCGAAGTCTTCTACCACTTCGCCGACACCGGTTACGTAACACCTGCAACCGTCAACACAAATGAAGCAGAAAGGATAGGACCGAATTTCATCCCTGATCCAGAAGCGGGAGACGAAGCAGCTTATCCCGAGGATCCAGAACTCCCTCGATACTCACAGACTGGGCTGCAAATCCTCGGCCTCGTCACCGCAGTCCACGGGAACACACGCAGCTCGCTTCCTCAGGAGCCTGCAACGGTTCAGCAGGCTCTGGGGGGGGAACACAGGGAGAAATGGCGTGAAGCCATGGATAGAGAACTGAAGGCATTAGAGGAACGCAACACTTGGAAGGTTGTTCCCGTAAGCGTGGCACGGAACAAAACCATCCTTACCGGGAAATGGGTCTTCCGCATCAAGACGAAAGCAGACGGCACGATCGAAAAAATCAAAGCACGCTGGGTCGTACGTGGATTCGACCAAGAGCAAGGACGAGACTTCACCGAGACCTTTGCTCCAGTCAGCCGCCACACGTCACTCCGAATTCTCCTCGCCATTGCCGCCATGAAGAAGAAGAAGTTACGGCAGATCGACGTAGCGAATGCCTTCCTCTACGCACCTGTGGATGCAGAAATCTACGTCGAGCTCCCGCACGGTTCCCACGGCGAACCCAACCGAATCTGTCAACTACTTAAGTCGCTCTACGGGATCAAGCAAGCACCGCGACTGTGGCAGCAGTACCTGCACGTCCGTCTCATCCGCATCGGCTTTAGTCAACTACCTCACGACCAAGGCATGTACCGCCTCACCAAGGGAAGCGACTACGTTCTCCTGATCGTCTACGTGGACGATCTCCTCTACATTGGGTCGACCGACGGCATCGCCACGTGGTTCGAAGGAGAGCTCCAGAAAGATCTCACGCTCACGGTCTCCTCCACCGTTACACAGTACCTCGGGCTCAACATCCGCGAAGAAGAAAACGCCATCTATCTAAGCGCCGAGAAATACGCCGACACCATCGCGAAACGCTTCAGCCTCACACCAAGCGCCATCTCCACGCCTTACCGCTATACATCAGGAACCGAGAAGGAACGAACTACTCTACTCAAGCCCGCCGGCATACGCGACTATCAGAAGAAGCTCGGATGCCTGCTATTCGCCGCCGTCACCTGCCGCCCTGACTTATCCTACTCCGCAAGTCAGCTCGCCACCTATCTCAAGAAGCCTGAAGCTGAACACCTGGCGGAACTTGATCGCGCTCTCCACTACTTCGTCAGCACCGCGACGATCGGGCTAACCTACCACAAGAGCGCAGCTACACCAACTAAGCTAATCGGCTACGTCGACGCCGATCACGCCGGCGACACCGACAACAGGCGCTCACGCACCGGCTATGTCTACCGCCTTGAGCCTATCGGTCCTATCTCCTGGCAGTCGAGCAAGCAGGAGTTAATCGCACTATCTTCAGCAGAAGCAGAATATATTGCACTCTGCTCAGCCACCAAGGAGGGACTTTACCTTCGCGAACTACTGGAAGAAGCGAAGCTAGCCGAGTTACCCAGCTTCACCGTGTTCTGCGACAACCAGTCAGCAATTCGCATCGCCAACAAAAACGGCTTCGCAAACAGGACGAAACACATCGCCCTGCGCTATTTCTTCGTGAAGGACGAGATAGAAAAGGGGAAACTCGATCTGTCATACTGCCCAACATCCGAGATGGCAGCCGATTACTTGACCAAGAAACTCGGAAAGCAGAAGTTCGAATACTGCATGATGCTGACTGGACAAGGCCACGTCACCAGCAGCGACACTCCAGAAGCGAAGGGGAGTGTTGGAAACAATAAGTCCTAAGTGCGCTTCTGTCGTATCAAAACCCAAGGCACCAAGCGAAGCAGTCCCAATCGGAGCATCAAGTCAACCTCGGAGGTTAGGGTAACCGCCTGGAGGTTACGAGAAAGTCAAAGGTCGCTGACCTTTGACTCGACAATTACAGCGCGACAGTTAAGGACACACAACTGACTCGCTACAGAGCAGTTGCCCGAGTCGCACTGTATCGAACCGCAACAGCAATACAGTTATCTACATATCTATTCGTATTCCCTGTACTCTTATATAACTCCTTGTATTTGCTTGTTTAATTCAATCAACTTTGCTCTCACACACCAGTGCAAGGTCGGTTCAAATTCTTCACTAAACGCTTCCGCTATTACAACTACTTCACCTAAAGTTATCCCTTGCAAAGATCCTAAGGGGCTATCTCAGCCCAACAAAACCAATCTGAGGGCCTACATTCAATGTAGGCTTTAATGGGGTAGCTAATGTAGGGTATACTTTTTTGTTACTTGTACCCAACTTTCTCGATAGTGCACCCACCTTTTCCCTTTACTCTCGACACTCCGGGCCTCCGCTTCGACATTTTCCCAAACCTCAGTCCCTGGCCCAACGCGCGACAACCACAGTCTATTACCGTTACCACTGTAGTTTCGCTATAGATTCTTCGCTCATGCCTTCGCTCATTGTACCCTTGCTTCGATAGTGCAATCCTCGTTCGATCACTGAATTGCACTCGTAACAAGCAAGGAATGGCGAGCATTACTTGAAGAAGAATCTGCCTTTGAAACCTTCGTAGTCATTGTGTTTTCCAAAGTTACCTGAACTCAACGACCATACCAACAGACAATACAAAGGTTAGAGAAACATACTACTTGAAGGAAATCGTTAACGCATGCAAATGGATTGTTTTGAGGACAAAGAGAACACGACACAAAAGAAGGGACTGTGAACCAGGTAATCAGATCACCGGATTTTTACAGGGCGAGTCAACAATGGCGCCACATTGCCATGTATCAGGACAAGACATTGCACAACACCATGTTACCGATAAGTATGGGGCCTACAGAAGAGAACGGCATTAGTAATGCATAAATTTCACGTCTCACAATGCCAAATGCAAATACCAGGATGCCTGGATCATGTAAAATAATGCGTGATGCACGTACCATGATACCCATAACCGTGCACCACCACCACAGGCTGAGTGCTGTAGTGAGAATAGTACCCTCAAGGCACATAATATTATATTCCTTCCACACACGTACCATGATGCCTATGGCCATGCACCACCACCACTGGCTGGTTGCTCGAGTGAGAATAATACCCCCAAGGGGTAGCACCATAGGAATACAGCGCAGGAGGAGGGCGATATGAATACCATGTTGTTCCATGCACATACCTAATGCACGTACCATGGTGCCCATGGCCATGCACCACCATCACAGGCTGGTTGCTCTAGTGAGAGTAATACCCCCAAGGGGCAGCACCATAGCCATACGGGGCTGGAGGAGGGGTGTAGGAAGCAGGAGGAGGAGGATGGCCATATGGGGCAGGAGGAGGGGCGTAGGGGTACCCATAGGGGGGAGCTTGAGAAGGTGGGGGGTAACCGGGGTATCCGTAAGGAGGGTTTTGAGAAGAGGGGGGGTAACCGTACGGGGTGGGAGGGTAAGCGCCCTGAGATGGGGGGGGAGGATATGCGGATTGAGAGGGAGCGGGAGGGGGAAGATATGCGGACTGGGAAGGAGGTGGGGGAGGAGGATAAGAGCCTTGAGGGGAGGGAGGAGGAGGATACGCGTTTTGAGAGGAAGGGGGATAGGCGCCTTGAGAGGAGGAAGAGGATGGGGGAGGATATGGGTTTTGGGATGGAGACTGGGGAGGAGGGTGGTGGGCTGGTGGTGCTGCTGCTGGTGGCGCTCCTCCTCCTCCTGCTGAAGTACCACCGATTGCAAGAGCGCCCATAGCTGCCCCAACTGCTGCAACGGCTGCTGCATCCCCTCCTATGCCTGCTCCACTACCCTCCCTTGTACGCTCAAATGAGCCCACTCCTGCTCCTGGGGAGTGGTGTTGGGCTTGGGATACCTGTGTTGCTGTGGGCTGGCGGGGGCAGCTGTAGGGGTGTGTGAGAGGAGCAGAGGGGGGTGGAGTTGCTGTCGGCTGAGGGGGGTAGTTGTAGGAGTGAGTGGGTGGAGGGGAGCGGGGTGGGGAAGGGACAGGAGAGTGAGGGGGAGACAGAGGGGGGGCGGATGGGGGTCCACTGGAATGTACTCTTGGGTAGTCAATACTGGAGTAGGTAGAAGAAGCAGCAGAAGGAGGAGGTGGAGCTGCATCAGCAGCACCACCACCATAAGGGTAGTCGGCATAATTACCACCAGCAGCACCAGCAGCAGCGGCAGCAGCAACCCCAGCACCAGCAGCACCAAGAGGAGAAGGAGCGAGAGGAGAAGGAGGGTAGAGACGACTAGGTGCCGACTCCTGGTGCTGGAAGGAGAAAGCCGAGTCTGAGAATGAGTACTGGCTGTGGAACGAGGAGGACGGGGAGTCTGATGAGGAGGAAAGGTGGGACGAGTGGGAGGGAGACTGGGTGTGGAAGGAAGGGGAGGAGGGTGGCTGGGAACGCGGGCTGTGTGGCAGAGAGGGGTAAGGGGATGGGTACAGATGGGTCTGGTCTGGTAATTGAGCTGGTTCAGAAACTGGCTGTGGCGGAGGGGGATAGAGTGATTGGGGTGGGGGAAAGGCGTGGGGTTGAGAGGACTGCTGCCGTGGTGATGAGGTGTAGTGATCAGGGAGGGGAACACGTGCTCTTGCTGCTCCTGCTGCTCCTCCTGCTGCTGTTCCTGCTCCTGCTGCTGCTGCTGCTCCTGGTGCTGCTGCTGCTGCTGCTGCTGCTGGTGCTGCCGTTGAGGAATGTATGGTAGAAGGAGGCGCGGATGCGTTCCGCTGGGACAGGGCCAAAGAGTAAAAGAATTAAGGAAAAAAAAAGAATAGAAAAGAAAATAAATCACAAAGAATAATGATACAGTCAAACATCCATTGAGTGACGATTCGCTGGGGAAATGACATTTAGATGTGGAATCAAAACAAATACACAGAACAAGTTAGGGAACATGATAACAGGTACGCCTTACAGGGATATACTTCAGAACGAGACGAATATAACCCTTTTGCCTGCAAAGCAATCCCAAGAGCAGCACAGGGAAAAAACGACGTAGGGAGGAGTTTTGAGGCACCTGAACAAGCCCTTTGCCTGCATAAAAATGCCAGGAGCAGCAGAGGGAAAGAAATGAGTAGAGTAAGTGCATGTTTGAGTCTCGCCAGGCTGGAAAGACGTAAGGAAGGGAGGCTGGCAGAAAAAAACTTCGAGATGTCGCAAAAAAAAAAAAAGGGCAAGTGGACAGAATTAAGTTTCTGAAAGGGCCTTCGGAACCAGAAATGCACATGGAATGAACCAGAAATGCCATACTTTTGCTTCTTAGTGAAGAGTGGGTGCCACATGTCCCACACTTGTGTTGTCAGTGCTGGCTGGAAGTTCACCCTGAACGAAATTTAGGAGACAGTGCAAGGAAGAAAAACAAAGGGGGAGACACGAACTGAAGGGCATGCTGCGGGACGAATATTTCTGCTCTGCTGTCAGTGCTGGCTGAAATTTCACTCTGATCGAAATGTAGGAGTCAGTGCAAGGAAGAAAAGAAAAAGGGGAGACGTTAAACGCGTTAGTGTCGAACGGCGAATATTCCTGCTCTGCTGTCAGTGCTGGCTGGAAGTTCACTCTGAATGAAAGTTAGGAGTCAGTGCAAGGAAAACAGGAAAGGGGGGATGCAAAATGCGTTATTGAGGAGCCACATGAACAAAGATTTCTGCTGCCAGTGCAGTGCTGGTTGACTGTTCAATATGAGAAAACCTATGCGGGCGATATGATCAAAGGGTTGAGCACTATGCTTTCGATTTGACATGATAGCCAACTAAGGACGTTTCAAGACGTCTCTGGTCTTACAAACCCAGAAATGTTAAAAGCTGTTGGAAAAGAATCAAAACACAAGGACTGTCCGAGGATTTTCAAGACCCACTATGGACGGTCCGAGGCATTAAATGCTGTTGGAAAAGGATCAACACACACTATGGACGGTCCGAGGCGTTTCGAGACCCAAAACGCACCAAGAATGGCTGGTTCTAGGAGCGATGGATGGACGGACGGACGGACGGATGGATGGATGGATGGATGGATGGATGGATGGATGGATGGATGGATGGATGGATGGATGGATGGATGGATGGATGGATGGATGGATGGATGGATGGATGGATGGATGGATGGATGGATGGATGGATGGATGGATGGATGGATGGATGGATGGATGGATGGATCATTTCTCATACAGGTACCGACCAACGAATCACAAAAGGCAGGGCAGGAGGGGGTACGTACGAGCAGTGGCCAATCAGAACGTCCCTGCGGGCCTGTGCCTGTTCTTGTCCCATACATGGCATTCCAAGGCGCTGACACCTGCCCTCAGCTGCAGCTGAAAACACCCTCAGGAATTACTATAAGTGCAGGCAGCGGGTACGTACGAGCAGTTGCCAATCAGAACATCCCTGCGCTTGTTCTTGTCCCATACATGGCATTCCAAGGTGCTGACACCGGCCTTCAGCTGCAGCTGAAACGTCTCGTTCCACACAGGGGTGGTGTGGCCGTCTGTAGGGACGAACGAGGGAAGAGGAGATGGAGAAGGAGAAGAGAGGACCTTAGGATAACAGTGACTGCCTGCTTGCATCTCTGGCCTCAGCTGCAGCTGAAACGTCTCGTTCCACACAGGGGTGGTGTGGCCGTCTGTAGGGACGAACAAGGGCAGGGGAGGTGAAAAACAGGGAGGGGAAGGGTCTTGCTCGATTGAGTGTTTGCCTCACCCTTCGCCATGCCTCATATATGAAGCATTTTTGGAAGCAACATACCTTGGTGAATCTTCATGCAATGCTGTTGGTTACCATGCTAATACTGTAACACCAAGTACGGGCACTGCTTGCTTGCTTGCTGTGTTTTGAGTCGACTCAAAACACGACTGCTTGCTTGCTTGCCTGCCCCATGTCTCACATACGAAGCATCGCCGCAAGCAGCCTACCTTGGGCCTACCTTGGAGAATCACCATGCGGTGCTGCTGGATACCATACTATTACTGTAACACCAAGTAAGGGTACTGCTTGCTTGCTTGCTGCACGCCTCCATGTCCCCTATTGAAGCAACTTACCCTGGTGTGTCTTGGTGCGGTGCTGCTGGTTACCATGCTTTAACACTACGTAAGGGTCCTGCTTCCCGTACAACTCCACGTCATCTAGATCCTTGCAGCCCACCACTGGTGCCACATGGCAAACCGCGAGGAAAAGAAGGGGGGGGGGGGGGGGGGGGGGGGGGTTGGGAGAGGGGATTGCGGGGGGGGGAGGGGGGAGGAGAGATAGGAAAGGAATAGGTAAAGTACTGAGCTTGCTTGTATGTTCCTTTTTGTCATAAAAGTGTGGAGTGTGTTTTCCAATAAGGGACTGATTTTCCGCTTACTCCAAAACGATAAAATAACGACCAACGAGTAACGAATAGAGGCCAACGACTTGGAGTCCAGAGCGACGAGCAGAGAGCGACGGTCAACGAGTCAAGGAGTTTGTAAAACTATTCCAGCGGCGCTCGGGATCATACGACTGCAGAGTGTTTTTGAGAATTCTCAAAAACACTCCAGAGCGACGAGCAGAGAGCGACGGTCAACGAGTCAACGCGTTTGTAAAACTACTCCAGCGGCGCTCGGGATCATACGACTTCTTTACCTTCCTGGAAGTTCCGTGCGCCGTGATGTCTGACGTCTGACGACATTAAATAATCCCTCACGTCTGACGTCACATCCGTCATTCACTGCCTGTAACGACATTCGATATTTCGTCTGACCTACGTTCACCGAAGCCTGAGGCGACGTTTCCGTTAGCTACGTTCGCGACATCCCGTGCTCCTTTTTGGCAAATAATCACGTACCAATGACTGCATCCCTGAACTCTATATTCTGACTGAGTGATTAATTTCTCACCCGTGACGTCTAGCCAGCCAGAAGCCATGACCGCGGCGCGGCTGAACCTTTGCCGCTGCTTTCGCCTTTTCCCCCTACCCCTTTCGCAGAGTGATGCCGCGTTCTAACAATCGAGACACAAGCGACAATCGAGAATTAGCAACGTAAGAAAGCACAGCGTCGAATCTAACGAAGGCATTCCTGCTTGTTACGGACGAGGTAATGGCTAAGAAACGTGGCTAAGAAACGTGAGGATCAAATGAGCGGCCCAAATGAATGGTAACTGGTCACTCAGAGATTCCAGCCACACTAAGGGCGACGTCAGGTTATACATTTCACACGCGCTTACAGTTCCTGTATCACGGTTCAGGACGGTCCAACACGGTGATAAACGGTTCAGGACGATTACCGCTCTTCACCGTGTTGAAACAAAATTTACTGGAGAGGGCGTACAAAAAGTTGTACAACCTGACGTCGCCCTAATCAGTCTGGCTTGCTGGAAGAAGCCTCTAAAAAACAATTACACAGGCAGTGGTTCATGCTACTGAACTACAGTAATGGTTTGGGCTCATACTATAACACTATCGAGAACGGTTAATTTATTTCACCTCTTTAGACCGTTGCAGGCCAGACTGAACCCTTGTTGAAATAAGGAATATGACTCCCACCCAACACAAGTTCAAAACATCCCTTGAGAACGACGAGGAACCTATTGTCCAATAGGAAATCTGGAGACGGAACGGTCAAGCCAATCAGGTTTGCTTGAATGAAATATCGACCTTTGTCAGTGTCCTCTCAGAAATCGAATATAAGATACGCTGTGTAAAAGACCACAAAAAACACCAGGCCCAATACAAATTCGGGAGAATATGCCGTTTATAACCATCATGGGACTCAAAAACATTTTTGATGAAAAACAAAGGGTACGGTCACTGCAAAGGGTGTTTTCACGCGACTGATAAAGCGTCTCACGGAATCAGTCACAATCAACTGGTAAAAAAAACGCGAATGGTCACAGATGAAACTCCCGCCAAAACAAAATGAAACCCAAAAAGAAGCTGGATGCATTTTCGGATGGTCAACCTAACCACGTAACTCGCCAGGTGTTTAGGGTTGATCCGTTCCCAAACCGCATCCGATTCCGATTGGGTTTTAGTTTTTTTACAAGTTCGCAGATTGGTTGGGCGCGAGCGGGAATTTTGTTGAGTTTAAGTTGTTTTGGGAGGAGTTACAAGTGTGACCATTCGCGTGATTTTTACCTGTTGTTAGTGACTGAATCCGTGACCCCGCTTACCAAACCCGTCAGAAAACCCGATACAGTGACCGTACGCGTTTTTCTCACCACTCACGTTATCGAGTCCCAAGCTGGTTACTTGTGGCATATTCTCCCTACAAATTCACGACATACTACACTTCGTAAGCAAGTGGACTGTATACAGAAGGTACTTCATAGTGGCTTTTGACCATGGCCATTACTCAGACCTGTTTTTAGGGTAGAGTCTGAATTTTCAGACTTCACCCTTTCCCACCTCTGAATCCCAGATAGAATTCTATTAACAACTCTGATATTCATACATTTATGATTCTCGTGAGGTATGTTCTTGGCTGGTGTCATGCTCACTGACACAAGGCTATTGGACAATTTAAATCATTCCACATCATTATTGTCAAAATATGATAATTTTTGAAAGTGTAATGAAATGTAACACTTTCTAAAATTTTGTATTGTGAAAAGGGGTACGTGGCCAACACAGCAAAGGTAGCGCCGAAGCGCTACTCACCCTCTTTTGCCTACAAAAGAGGGACGTGGGGACATTCGTCCCCACCCACGTTTTCATTTTCAAAATTGTAGTTCTAATTTCCCACCCGCCCAGGGCCTGTGCTAGGATTTTGGGCACCCTGAGCCCTCAGGGTAACTTTTGAAAAATCTCTGAAATGCCCTGATTCTTCAGGGCAGAATTTTCTGGCCATCCTGAAATTTCAGGGCACCAGC